AAAATGAACCTATGCGTTTCAATAAGTAGTTATTGGCCGACAACCGATCATATATGCATGATTACAGTAATAGTAGCAGAGCAACCCTTCTGTTATGGTCATCAACCTTCTCGCTGTTACGTCAGTTGAACTATTTTGTTTCAAATGGCTTTGTTTGATCCTCTTTGAAGACAAACGTTGGGATCAGAAAGCTGAAATCCTTTTCACTAAGTACGATAGAGCTGTATACAAAGGTTACCGATCCGCCCGCTTTTCGCACGGCTCGGGAGTACGCTACAAGTACTCTCGGCCCTGTTAATACTCCCGATTGGCACGGCTCGGGAGTACGCCCTAAAGTACTCTCGACACCTGTTAATACTCCCGATGGTGCGCCATGGTGGTTGCTTTGTCGAATTGCCAATTCTGTAGCGACACGGGGGGGGGGCATTTTGGGCCCGTTCTACGGCGTGTCTTTTCGCGTGTTTCTCTATTGCCCTGTACAAGGGAGGTCTTTCAGGGCAAGGTGCGCTTTTCAAAACGGTTTTGTGCATATTGTAGGGACGCATGTAGGGAACGCAAAACCATGTTTCATTTTCGCTGAACGGTTATAGCAGTACCAAAAAAGAAGCATAAGGTACTGTTAAGGGTTCGATCCCGTATAAATTCGTATAATGTAGTTATTACGTAAATTTTGCATTTGGGTTGGCGCCTACGGTTTGGTGCCAAATCGCGCTAAATATCAAAATCAGATGTCAAATTCATCGTCAGGACCATTTTGAAGCCAACAAGTGGCCGCCAACCTTGATTGCAAAATTTAGTCGCCGCGGGGATTGAACCAAGAGTATTATTCACCACTTTTTTGGTACTACTAAAACCGTTCAGCGAAAACGAAACATGGTTTTGTGGTCCATACATGCGTCCCTACAAGATTTCATATTTCATATTTATTATCGGAAATCAAAGCTACAAACAAACGTTGAAAATAAGTAAAAACAAATCTCCGATAAGCGCAAACGAAAGAACCAAATGGGACCCCAAAAAGGAGATCTGCCAGAACAGGGAGTGGATCCAGCGCAGAAGGGCAGTGGCCGCCAACACTGCAAACTCAAGAGAGGCGTGGAAGTAGAGCTCCGGATACCAATTTTGTAGGTCCGCCAACCTTGCCGAAATCCAGCTCAGAGATGCCAGGAACCATTTTCAGAAAGCGCGGCTTACCCTGAAAAGATCTCCTTTGTGAGTGCTCTGTCTGTGTTATCTGTCGTACGTACCACTGACCTTGCAGAAGCTTTACGCCTGTAGACCTAGCGTTTTCGATAATCCTTCGCTTTCTTTCTCGAGATTTAATTCACTTTGCACTCTACTTCCATTGTTGAATGCTCTCACAAAACGACTTTCCTGATGCCCTTGACTGTCAGTAATGTTCGGTTTATTGGGATTTCTGTGGTACGATTAGCTTCTGTTCATTATCCACCTGCATCAGCACCAATTCAGCCATCTACAAAAATGTTTACGACAGTCGTACACGTGGCGTGGATACGATCTGTCGCACCACATGCCCCCTCCCTTTTATTAGATGAGACAGGACCTCCATGTTACATTAACGTCTGGAAGTCTGTTTTTGGCTAAAAAGTGACTTGTAAGGACATCTCATAACTGGCGAGACTTTTCCAATGAACGCATTGTCTTCCCTTCTGTGACATCGATTTCAAACTGTCAACTCCAGTTCTACTTTTTCACAAGAACGACAGTTTTTCACCATCTCGAGTTGAATTGTGATCAGGTTTCCGGACGTCTCTTTCTGCGGCTATGCTGATTGATCTTTCAATGTTGCCTAAATTCGTGTTCACTGTGTCATTCTCCAAGTCCGTCAGTAGTCTGTTCCGATGCGTCAATCATGTTTTATGCTTCTCAATAAAGTGTTAGTACAGACGAACAATACTTTTTTGATGTGTGCAAGCCAACGACGTAGCGATACCGTATTTTGCATATTCTTACAAAGTCCTCTCGTAATTAAAATGGTCCTATCGTGTTTTCGAGGAATTTCCCTCTCTGGTACACCATTTAACATTCCATTCCACTCAACCACAACCTCAATCCAACCAGAATCTATCATTATCGCTGCCTTTGAATTTTGCTTCCGAGTATTTTTCCGCATTCCGTGAAAGTGTGCTAGTTCAAATCGTCTCTTCTGAACTTATGCCTGTATTCTGACTTGGTTGATGTTTGTCAGAGAACTTAATACGCTGGAATCAACAATGGAATTACGATGGTTGAGGTGAGTTAGGAGTCGAGGGTAATCTCGAGGTCTATTGTTCTTCCACCACTTTGGCATTGTGCATACTATTTCTTCCACCACTTTGGCATTGCGCGCTTCATAAGACGCGATAGACGTAAGCAAACCAGCCCTTTTGGCGCTTCGGCTGGGACCGTGTGCTGAATGTTGGGGAGGGGATGGAGTCTCCGACGGTAGACGGACCACTTCAACTCGGTCCTTGGAACCGACACAATTTGGTGCTTACCTCAGAACTAAGCCTTAAAGAGAGGACGGGTCCGTCCCCTCTCCAAGGCTTACCAGGAAGGTCTTTCAGGGCGTGACAAGCTTTTTGAAAACGGTCTTTTGCATGATATAGGGGCAGATGCGGGAACCACAGAACCATGTTCAATTTTTCCTGAACGGCCCTCTGAATACCAGAAAAGGAGGTCCCTAGTTCGATTCCTCGTGGTAACAAATTTTTGCATTTCGAGTTGACGTGCCAAAATTCGCGCAAAATGGAGTTAGAACCAACCAGAACAATCAGAACTCCATTTTGCGCGAATTTTGGAACGTCAACTCGAAATGCAAAAATTTGTCACCAAGAGGAATCGAACTAGGGACCCCCTTTTCTGGTATTCAGAGGGCCGTTCAGGAAAAATTAAACATGGTTCTGTGGTCCCCGCATCTGCCCCTATATCATGCAAAAGACCGTTTTCAAAAAGCTTGTCACGCCCTGAAAGACCTTCCTGGTAAGGGGGTGAGCAAAACCAGTCTCTGGCGGAGCTGCTGGACCAGCTGCACCACTTGCGTCAGTACTCTCCTATCGTACCAACCGAGTTGAAGTAAACCGTCGACCGCTGGGGACCCCATCCCCTCCCCAACATTCAGCATACGGTCCCAGCCGAAACGCCAAAAGGGCTGGTTTGCTTACCTCGACGCGATATGGGAGAGTCAGATTCACCCTTTCTTAAGCTGTTCGTTGGTTTTATCACTCCTTCCGTCACCTCGTCAAGTAACTAAAACGCCACATGGAATGATTCTAATGTGTGAGGATACCAGAAGACTCATACCAGAAGACAGAAAATGCTCCCTATCGACAATGCATCTCGCAAAGTCCAAAGGAATCGCGAGCTGCTTTGGAAGAGATCGCGGGTCGCTGTTTTTCCTTATAGGGCATGCTCCTTTTGATTTCGGATCTTGCAAAGCGAACAATTTCGTAAATGGCTGCCCATTCAATTCTCTGCGGCGGCGACGAGATTTTAGTAGACAAGTGGAACGTGCAGGACCACTCGGGCGATAATTTTACCTCCATTTGGGTTTGATATGATTGATCTGTCCTGAGCCTCATGTGTCATATATCCTTTTCTTTCTCACAGACTACGACTTTTAGCAATAAATCTACTATTCTGTTTTGTGCAACAACCTTTGCCTTCATAAGCTATGAATTTTTATTACATACAATTCAATTATAAAGATAACTTCAGCTTAGGCAAGCCAATCTCCGGGATCTGAATCTCGAACCATAGGCTACGATAGCGGCCCCTCTTGCCTAACGACAAACGACACAGGAACTGAGAATCGCAGATATTGCTGCCTATGGTACACTCTGAGACAGTCTTATCTAGTACTCTTCTGGACCGAATAATTGCCCGACAACTATGCTATGAAACCCTTGGCAGAGGTGATCGCGGAGGAGCTGTCTCTGGCCTTGACATAACACATATTATGAGCTCCTCTCTGGAACAAAAACTGTAATGCTGTAGAAATCTTCAATTTTCGCCTTCGGTTCGTCCTTTTATTTGAAATAAAGGCATGCCCCAGGATCAAATTGGTGCGGACCCTGCACAAGAACGCGAACGCACTCCGACAGTGAAGAAAAAAGGGAATAAAATCGTCGAAAACTCTCAGATTAAGGGCGCACTCAACTTCGCAATACAATTTGCTAAGACAATGAGGGACTGAACGCGGAGAGGTGTGTTGAGTGGGAGAAAAAACTGCAGCTGCTAGCAGCTTACTTTGCAAGGCCCTAGCGCTCTTGTCGGTTGATTTCCGTGCACGGGAACGCCACATTTGTGATTGTCCTCTAGGGGTCTATCCTACAGACCGAAGGGAATCGTTCACACGACTTCTGCCTGGGTTGTGCCTTTAAAAGCAAGCTCCGAGATAAAATATAATAGGTGTAGAGCAGCATTCGCTAATGAAGCTAGAATTGGGGAGTGATCTGGAGAAGCAAAAAAAAGCAAGGAAAACCCCGATTATGCCCCTTGCAAAATTCTCTCCTGTTTCAGCCGCTTCCACCTCAGGATTAGAGAAGGGGCATGTATGGACCGAGTTCAATAAGCTTAGTTACAGCTGCTGCAATGCCAGTGACATTGAATCGCAATGCAATTGCTGCTACGAATGCGCCCGCCCCTTTCAAACAGCGACACGTGGCAACGGACACCACAAGGCGGGGCTTGCGGATGAAGGAGTGGATTGCGGGTCGTGCGAGCTCCTAGCGCCTTTGTTGCGCACTTTCAAGCCTCGAAAGGGACGCGACGTCAACGCTTGTCTGCCTGTCTGTTACATTCGGGTTTTAAAGGTGAGAGTGCATGATCCCGCAGCGTGCCTTTGAGCTCGTTAATGTTGTCATAAAACTTTGGGTGATCATCGTATAACTTCGTATAATGTATGCTATACGAAGAACGCCATGGACGGTCCCAAGCCCGTTCGGGAAAGGAGGAGGGTTGGCCCGCTACCGACGGGCTGTAAAACTAGGTAAGAAACCATGGAGTGTCATTATAGCAATAACGACAAAGCTACCGCATCCGGGGGAGCCGATGCGCCAATACCGAGGAGCCAGGGTATTGGTGGAAAGACATTGACTGGCCAAAAAAAGGAAATCCCACGACTCCTTACACCTAAGTCGAAACTGCGACTTGGATCGTGGAACGTGCGGACCGCCTTTCACTGCGGTCAGAAAGAAATCATCGCAAGGGAGTTGAGCAAGTGCCGGGTTACTGTTGCAGCTTTATCCGAACTGAGGATCAGCGGCTGTGGAACGACAAGAGTGCAGGTTCCTGCTACGGACGATTGGATGACACTGTACTACTCTGGCGGTCAAGAACATCGTGATGGTGTTGGGTTCATGCTCAATAGCCACGCATCAAAATGCGTCGTGTCGTTTCAACCCATCTCGCCGAGAATAGCAGTGATCACTTTGGGCGGAACCGTCAAGTCGCACATAGTGAGCGTATACGCTCCGACGGAACCGAGCGACGACGGTATGAAGGACGAATTCTATATGCAGCTCCAAGACGTGCTGGACAGCATTCCCAGAAGAGATCTCGTTATCGTCACAGGCGATCTGAACGCTAGAACTGGCGCCGACAGAACCGGATGGGAACCTGTGATGGGCCGATTTGGCGTAGGAGAAATGAACAACAATGGTTTGCGGCTGCTTTCGTTTGCCACGTTCAATGATCTGGTCATCGGCAATAGCCTATACCAGCATGCACGAAAGCATCAGCTGACATGGAGAAATCCATCTGGTCACGATTCAGCAGTCCTGGACTATGTACTAATCAATTCTCGATACAGGTCATCGCTAAAGGATGTGCGTGCAATGAGAGGCCCGGATTGCGGATCAGATCACTACCTACTACGAGCAGTCGTGCAGCTCCGCCTACAGTGTGCTAAGCGAGGTAAACGCCAACCGAAAGTAGACTGGGAGCAACTTATGAAGCTGGAGGTGAAGCAAGGCTTCCAAATTGCACTGTCAAATCAGTTTGCTGCGTTCACGGAAGTGGGAACGGTGGACGAGGAAGAACGGCAGACTGCAAAAGTCATTACCGAATGTGCTACACAACTGTGCCCAGTTTTGCGCCGACGGACTAAACCATGGATCTCGGACGAAACATTGCAGTTGGTTGACAAAAGGAGGAAGGTGAAGCTGACGAATGGCACTACGTATCAGCTACTCAGTAAGGAGCTCCGCAAGAGACTAAAAACAGAAAGGGAGGCCTACTGGAACGCAGTAGCGGAGGAGCTCGAAGAATCGGCATCCAAACACGAGTATCGCATGCCGTATCAAATTCTGAGAAGACTGTGCGGGCAAAACCAGAGCATGCGGAACCTTCATCAAAGACGCAAGTGGCAAACTCGTGAAGTCAGAGAGGGAACGCTTACAGAGATGGAGAGAGTTCTTCATAGAGCTGTACAGCCACGAACTGCCCACAGAACCGTTTCCAGAGCCAGTACCGATAGAGATGCCACAGGAACCAACACACGAGGCGGCGCCAAGTATGGAGGAAGTGAGGGCGGCGGTGATGTCGCTGAAGAACAGGAAAGCGGCTGGTGTAGACAATGTCACAGCAGAAGCGATTAAGGCAGGAGGAGAAGTATTGGTACAACGGCTCCACCGTCTTATGTGTCGCGTCTGGCAGACGGAGGTTGTTCCTACGACGTGGAAACGCTCCATCATCGTGCCAATACACAAGAAAGGCGACATAACGGAATGCAAGAACTATCGCGGCATATCACTCCTGTCAGTCGTCGGGAAGGTTTTCACAAAGATCATCAACGCAAGACTTCAGCTTCATCGAAGAAGCTTATGCCGACCGGAGCAAGCGGGTTTTTGCCCTGGCCGTGGGTGCAGTGACCAGATCTTCGCGCTGAGGCAACTACTGGAAGAACGTATTCGTTGCGGCAAAAGGGTTGTGGTTGTTTTCATAGATTTCAGAGCTGCATTCGATAGCGTCCACTGGCCAGCGCTATGGAAAGCCCTAGAGTGTGAACATGTTCCGGACAAAATTGTGAGGCTGTTGCGGGAGGCGTACAATGGAACTGTCAGCTGTATCCGCGTCAAGGATGACGTCTCTGAAGAATTTCCTGTAAGTGCTGGTGTTCGTCAGGGTGACGTGATCTCCCCTACGTTGTTCAACGTGGTAATGGACGCTGTCATGAGGAAAACTTTCAACGGAAGGCAAGGCGTGCAGTACGGTGAAGGCGGCTTTCTCACTGACCTGATGTTTGCCGACGACAGCGCAATTTTCGCCGAAACTGACGAGGAAGCGACTAACATCATGTGCTCACTGTCAGAGATTGCCCAGTCGTATGGCCTCAAAATAAACGCGGAAAAGACCAAGGTGATGACCTCGGATGGATCGCCCGCGTCCGTGCGACTGGGTAGCGTCGCCTTGGAGCAAGTGAGTAATTTCAAGTACCTTGGATCGGTCGTTCAAGAAAGGAAAGTGGTTGCCGAGGCTGAGGTCCGCAGCAGGATTGGTCATGCGTCTAAGACATTTGCAGCGTTAAAGTGGTGTCTCTGGAAGAAGAGTAACATATCACTGAAAACCAAAATTCGCATGTTCCGGACGCTGGTGCTCCCTGTGCTACTATATGGGTCTGAGACATGGACGTTGCTCAAGTCGGATCTCTCTCATCTCGAGGTGTTTCAAATGCGTTGTCTCCGCCATATGCTCGGGATCAGGCTTCGTGACCATGTCACGAACAACGCCATCAGGGAGAAGTTTGAAGATCAACCCACAATCGAGGAACAATTGAAACTGCGACGGCTACGATGGTTCGGTCACCTGTGCAGGATGGGTCACGACAGAATACCTAATATGCTCCTGTGGAGAAGACGCCCTGCGCAGTGGAAAGTTCAGAGGACGGCTCCAAAAAAGACTTGGTTGAAGCAAGTTGAGGAAGACCTTAGGGCTCTGAGGTGCAGTGTTGAGCATGCTAGATGTATTGCTGCTAATCGACCAGAATGGAGACACTTCATTCAGGGCGTTCGTACTCCAATGGCACCCACAGCAGTGTACTGGTTGAGAGGCCGGCCCCCACCACCAGACGCAAGCTAAGGGATAAGTAAGTAAGTAAGTAAGATAATGTATCTACAAGGAGCCCTGAGGCACTGAATCACAAATACGAAGAGGGTTCTGGAAAAGCAAAACCCATGGAGCTACAAGCATCAACCAGCGACCTGTGCTAAGAACTGTTCTAATAATTTATCAAAAAACGCACTACCTTGTGAAGATTTGCTTTTACAGCAGAAATTATACGTTCCTTTTACGCAAAAAAGATAAAAGGATAAAGCATTTGCCGTTGATCAATCCCTTTTTGGGATGCGGCACGCATTCTACTTCCATTTGTACATTCGCAGTGGCGTTTGAATGCGATGTGGCCTATACAATGACTTGCGGGGCCAGCCGATGTTCAAGTCAGTGTTTTTATCCTCCCAGACAAGTCTGGTACCAATTAACCGACCCCGGAGGGATGGAAGGCTTGGTTGGCCCGGGCGACTCACGACCCAGGATTTGATCCCGGACCGCTCGCGTGGTAAGCGCGCCACTTGTCACTACACCACTTCCGCCCTTTATGCACAATGGTGACACCATAAGGGTGCCCTGTCTCAGAAGAAAACCTTGTCAAACTGTGATCGCCCCTTTGACTAGGGTTGGTGACAAATTGCATAAATTTTTTGACCCTTTGACTATCGTGAACAACAGTATACCTTTCATTTTGTGCCATTCTCGTTGACGAAATGTGAAGAAACGTATGGGGCTAGCTAACAGCTTGTTTGATAAGTAGGCGTTCCCAAGCCTCCCTGGCGTTGTTCCCTCTAAGGTGGGTCTGCTTCAAACTGTCATTAAAGCAACAGTCCAAGCAGGGTTTCAACCATTCGATCCTAAGGGTGGAAACATGCACTAGCCCTAGTCAAGTACATAGGAAATGTCACTGATTTGAAAACTTACCTTTGAAAGGCGTTGGAAGGGGGTCTAACGCCGTCGAAGTGGGCGGATCCACCGAGCCTCGGTACGGCCGCCCACTTCTGTCGTGAAGAGTGCGTGATTGGCTGCGCAGACATTTGCGGTCGTTTCGGGACCACCGGGACTATTTGAGGTCGATCCTTTGAAGCAATCGATGTGGTGATGCCGACTACGCTGGATTTCTACGTTTTTTCCTTCTACCTTCTACCTTCAAAACATGAAACGATTTCATTATTGCCCCAATTGCAATTAGCTGGCAAGTAGCCAGCAATTGCAATTGGGGCGCATTTACTGCGGGCATGTTCAGACAACTCGTCCAACACACGTCTTCTCCATTGCTAAACGGCAGAGGGGGAGTCCCTGTCTAAGCCCCTGCCCGACGTTTTTTTCTACTTTTTCTTTCTCCATTGACCAACTTCTCACCTGCAACTTCATTATAGGTGGTTTTTGCCCGCGAATTCGTTCCTTGGATTGTTGCTTTAAGTGTTGAAGAATTCCTCGATATGATCATGGCTCGAAGCAAACTCGATACCTCAAAAATGACTGCCTGGAATGATGGTCCGGTCAGGCTGTGCGATTTTAGGTCTTTTTAAAACCTTATTCACGCTTTCAGTGACAATGTTCAACTTGGCTCATACTCTTTCAGTACCTTCCTTTGATCTCTTGCACTTTTTTGTTTACGTTCCACCTTCGTTCTCTCTTCCTCTTCTGTTTATTAATTTCCTTACTCGATGCCACTCATCTTAATATTGTGAAGGTTTTCTTTTTCTTTGTTCTCTTTCTCCTTGTTTCATGTTGACTGACTGCGCTTCTTGCGCTACCTCACTTCAATCCCGTCTTTCCTCTCCTATTCGTTACTTCTTTTCGCTATAAATTTTTGCTTCCTATTTTGTACATTCCTCCTTCCCTTCGACTGCTCCTCTACATTTGCTTTTTCCCCTCTGCTCTTATCTCGCTATATAGAGCGGAAATTCGTACCATCTGTCCTTTGTTCAGCAGCTGTCAGTGCTTCAGTTATTCTTGAAAATTGCTGAATAAATGCATCCAAAAAATGGTAGATTGAAAATTGAGGTGCACCTGCGCTTGGATGCTTCCATGGTAACTATTACGGGATAATTGAAATTGAATTACTTGCTGCAGCAATTCTTCATCTCATCATTTAGTCTTCTATAATTCCTATACCTTTGTGTCCTTGTCTGTCCCGGCATAGTTTTCTGGGTTTTTCCTTTTACTTTCACTGCAAAATTTCAAATATATACTCAAATCTTAGATTCCTAAATGTAATTCTATATCTTTTAACAAGTGTTTGATTATTCCTTGAGACGGAAGTGGTGTACCGGCAAGTGGACATCTTTATCACGTGTTCGGGGATCATACGTCGGACGATGGACCGTACGATTTCAGACCAACCAAGGTTCTCCACTTCGGTCAAAATTGGTGCAGCACAACGTTCCGGAGCTAATGATAGCGAATAGTAGCGACCTAATTCCCCGATTTTTGATCTGATGGATTACCCTGCGTGGAGTACGCGGAGGACGATAAAATATCGGGTTTGAGCATAATATTGTAGCGATTTTTTTCAAGCTACAAATTCAGTGAATAGAGGTATAACCCGGGGAATCACAAATCACACATATAACTTGAAAGCATTTCTTCTGCTCTACAATCCCTTGTTTGTCATTTTCTTCTATATTGTAAGTGTACTCAGATATGGTGCTTAGAAGTTGGAAAATCAAGGTGTGCCAAAATATATACAGGGGGGGGGGGGCAAAAAAAAAGACATTTTGCCCATGTCGCACTTCGGCCTTTTTTCTTCGCAGAGATTGCCGTCGTTGACGGAAGTTCCTCAGCAAAATATTCCCTAAATGTCCCTCTATAAGTACACGCAGGCCCTCCTTCACTACCCTCACCGTCTTCAGAATATGACGTCATCTGTCACCGTCGTCGAGCTCAGGGAGGCCTACAGTAACTGCTTCAGCCTGAAGCTCTTACATAATTTCTTGGATCGATTCAACGTGGGATAGTTTCCTAGGGACATTAGCTCTAACTATGCAAACCCCCTCGGAACCCGCCCTTCGGAACCCGTCGTAACGGTACACGATCAGTCGAGAACCCCATTGAGCTCGACCAGAGCACCATGTTTCCGGGGCAAATTTTCTGATGCCGTCCACGTAGATGGCCACTATGAAGATTTTCTTATGAAATGAAATGCGCTCTTCAATTCTAAGTTGGGAGCACACGCTTTGAGCTGAGCAAAGTGTGATTAAATCCATTTGAGTCTGGAGACAAAATGTCTTTTTTTTATTGGCCCCCCCCCTGTATATAAAGAAAAAAGCTGCCAAAATAGGAGTTTTTCAGAATCCATCGTGCGCTACGATATTATGCTCCAATCTATAATACTAATAAAAAGCATTTGCCGTTGATCAATCCCGTTTGGGATGCGGCACGCATTCTACTTCCATTTGTACATTCGTAGTGGCGTTTGAATGCGATGTGGCCTACAATGACTTGCGGGGGCCAGCCGATGTACAAGTCAGTGTTTTTTATCCTCCCAGACAAGTCTGGTACCAATTAACCGACCCCGGAGGGATGGAAGGCTTGGTTGGCCCGG